TATTATTAGCAACTAGTATACGCGTAATTAGATATTAATCTAACCTAACTTAAAATCATTTTTGTTAACCTCTTTCAAATACGAGAAAATTAAAAGAGAAAGAACTCGAAGAAAACAAAAACGTAATAATTACACTGACAGCCATTGCGCAAATACACGTAACTGACTAGCTAATTAAAAACCGAAAACCCCAAAATCATCCCTTCTACTAACATTCCAAATGCAACAAAAACAAAAAGGCTTCAAAGAAACTAAAAGCGAAATAATTGCACGAAACAAATGGCACCTAATTATAGAACCAAAAACACCCAGATCACCCATTCTGCTAAACATCCAAAACACAACGAGAAAAGAAAGAATCCAAAGAAAAAAAAAATAATTACACTGGCGGCCATTGCACGAAACGAATTACAGAACCAAGAACTAAAAATCACCCTTTTTTTTCTGCTAAACGCGACGAGAGAAGAAAGAGTCTAAAGAAACCAGAAAAGAAGAAGGGAAAAAATTACACGCGAGTGGGCATCGCACGGAACAAAGAGGAGGTCTGCGTGGAGCAGCGTGAAAGTATCCAAGGGGAAAAGCGCAGCGTCACCCACCCGGTACGATCTTTTCCACTCGCGCGTAATCGCCACTCGCGTCGCTCTAAACATCTCATTTGGAGGGGAGACGTGAAGAAAGAAAAGACGGGTGGTAATTGAGCGGTGGCAGTCGCTGCCAGTGGCTCGGTGTACTGGGCTACTCACCTCCCTCGTCCCCTTTCTCGAGCGTTTCCTCTCGAGCTTCGGTGTCTGAGGTAGCAGGGTGTAATCGCCGCTGGTGCCTCCGCTACGCTGCCGCGTCAACGGCTGGTGCGAGAGGAAGGGTGCCCGCGACGGCGGTGAGAACTGAATGGCAGCCTGCGGCAGCAACGTGTAGCCGAGGTTTTGGCCCTGGGTGAACGGCGAAGTCGGCGGGAAGTGATTCGCCACCACCGGCGCCCAGTACTGGTGCGAATACCGCGACGGCGAACTCCCTGCGGACAGACAATTCATTTCGATCCTCGTCACACGCGCCATGCCAATCAGCCAGCCGATACTAATTACTACTTTCATATCGACGCCCCACCCTCTCTTCCCCGCTCTTTCGTGACCGACATCAATCACTGTCTACGGAGATTCGACAGCTCACGGGGCTGAATATTTGGATTTGCTCGCGACCGACTGTAATTGGGAACGGTGATCGTGCAGTTTTATTCCGAACGCCTGGATCAATCCTTTCAGCCCGGAGACGCACCACGGCGCACATTGATTAAGGACGAGGCGGGATAATTTTTCACCCTCGGCGGGGGTCATGTGCGACGCTTGGCGTTCCAGGTTCGTTGGAAATTAAGTTGAAGTAAAGCAGCGGCACGATTAGCTTCCCGGTGATGTCTTTGTGAGAATGAATTGTGCGTCAACGAGGATATATTATATTTTGTTGACAGAATAAACAATATGCACAATAGCAGTATCCAGTAATTAATCACACGATACAATGATACAAGATGGCACAGGATAATTAAATTATTGGTTTATTAAGTAGCGGAATGTTGTTAGAAAAATTATAAAATATCCTTTCGCAAGTATGGAAGAATAACTGAAATATCGAATGATATCACTAGGGGAAGAACGCTCGCCTTTATACTGTTATTTATGCTAAATATTTTATAAAAATCTCCATTCAAATATACGATAGATTCTAAAAATTTTGATATCACTTGCATCGTTACTGTTATTGCAACTCGTTGTTGAAAATTGCTACTGTGACACATTACTTTTCTATATAGTAAACTGTTAGATTTTGCTAATACATCATTTCTAATACGTCGGTAAAACTAGGTATGCCGATACTTTTTTGACCCACTGCACCAACATCCGAAATTGTTCGAAAATGAAACTGCAAAATTTCGGGGATCGTAACTGTTGCACACAACCAGAATGACAAATGTCACAGGATAACAATCATTTTTTTGTTACAAAATGTTTTGACGATTACGAGATTCAAGAAAAACTTTCTCGTTACTAATAACCATTATCGTCGAGAGAAATTTATTTCGATTACTTGTGACAGTTTTCGGCGAGGGCAACTGTTTCCTACGTACACTTTCGGTTAAGATAGTAATTGTCGATAAGGGAAATTTATTTCGATTCACATCAGAAAATAATACTACGGTTTTCAAACATGTTTTAATGCGGTTGCGGGGTTGTTTCGGTCGAATATGCAAAACAACTTTATGCTTTACGAACTTATACTTTATACTTTATGGTATTTGGACCGAAATGAAGTTGTCGATAACCGTTGCGAGCAATCGAAATAAATTTCCCTCATCGATAACCAAAATTCTTGTACTTTGTATAAATGTATTTCAGTATATTGGTCAAAGAGTAATTGCATTTTTTCTTTAATAGATGTAACTAACTTCATTTCAATAAATCACACCTGATTGTTCAAGCTTATTTCAGAGAAAGAAAATTATCTTCGTATTTTGCTGTTACTATTTCCGAAGAGAAACAAAAATATTGTACAATGTCATAAAAAATGATCCGACGAAGAAGCCTTCAGACTACGGCAGTGTCAGAATTATTTTGCTAAATTTCACTATTAATAAGGAACTTTATTTTATCACAAAAAAAAAAAA